TATTGGCCTCCCAACTCCAGTGGACTGTATAAACTATGATCAAACCTTTTAAATAACATGAAGTATGCATCCATCCAGAAAACCCCCAATACACATAAGCATATTTAAAAAAAAAAAAACCAAGCAAACCACTAGCCACTACAAATACCATGTAGCTGCACTAGCCACTACAAATACCATGTGGCTGCAATTCCACCTTCCACACTGCTTCTGAGCAAGGTAGAACAGGATGTGGAGTGCTATGAGAATGTGGTGGGAAAAATGAAGGATTATCATATTTTTCCCCAAACCACCCATTTTTCTCATCTCCTTCTCTGTTCAGATTATGGACTTGGTAGACCAGCATTGCTAATTGTAACATGGTATTGCAGTTGTTGATGTCCAACATTACATAGTAGAAAAGTACAACAGCTGATACTGTTCCATTAGTGCAAGCACTAGCAGATCTAACACAACTCCTATAGACAATGCTTAGGTTAATGTAATGGTAATGAGTTGTGGGAGAGCTTAATGAAACAGCTCTTGCCCAATGATTTCTGGAACAAGTTGTAAACCACTCTACAAATCTGATATTTTCCAAAAAACAGAAATGTTACCCTTGAAATATGATAGCATGGGATACATTCCAAAGAGATTAATATTTAAAATGTTATAGATGTAACTTGAGATAACAGTGTTGTTAGTGACCTTTCTGTAAGATCATCATCATGATGGCAATACATGGCAATATTGATGGCAATCAATACATGGCAATATTGCCACTGATAACAGTTGCATTTTTCAGGTTTGGTGATTTTTATTTTTTTTTTTTGGTATAAGATGTTATGGATAGTCCCTGAAGCAATAACAGTTATGCTTTAATAGTTATTAAAACAATGTGTGAAAAATGAACAGTGACAAAAATGGGTCCTTGACATGTAATTGACAGATGAACATTTTAAAATAGTATGTTTGAAAAGCTTTAGCAATTGCATTGTACCCAACACTAAATATTAGCTTAATTATGATAGCAGTATAAGTGTTATTATGTATGTAGACAATAATTTTCTGAAACTTATTAGGAGGTCACAATATATTGCTATTTTTACAGCATATATACACTACATTCCCGGAGAAGGTCTCTAATAACTTTGAATAATACTGATTTGTCTATGTTTTCACTATGGGGCAAACAGCGGCTCTCAGCACAATGGTTCCAACCTGATTCTCTCCATTGCTCCGTAGCTTCTCTTAATTTTTTTTTTAAATGCAGATCTTTATCAGGGATTTCTTGCATTACACCTAGTTTGATCTTGATCCCACCCAAAAGGAAATATAAAACCATTTTTTCTACCTGCAGATTATTTCATTCAAATTTGCAAGTCATGGAAATTATAATATATATTTTATAGCCCAACAGCCTCCTCACCCTGTGAACAGGCTGTAGAAAACTGTTACCCACCCCCCCAAAAATACAGAAGTTCACATATTATTTGTAAATTGTTGAAAAGCTCCTTTATATATCTGATGTTCTCAAGCCATTTAAAACAAGCAGTAAAAGAAGACACTGGATGATCCATATTATCCTAGCGGCAACCCCTGGCACAGGACCTTAATATAGCTCTGTAGTGAAATGGGTGGTGACAAATTTGAAATATAAATATAAATATAGTCAATTTCTGTTAGTTTTCTATTTCTACAAACCATAGAATTATTGCTTAAGGTCATTTGTTCCACTATAATGTACCTTATACACAAGAGATGTGTGGTCTAACATATTTCTTCTCAAGGCAGTACTAGAAGGATATGACATCACCAGTACATATGACTTCCAAAAGAACTGCTGTTGTTACAGTTCTTAGTGTCTGACCCACTTAATTGTAGGGTCCACTCATTCTGTACTGTGCCCACTAGTTCTTGCAAAGCTAATCAATGCATGATTAAAAAAGAGACTTTGTTTTTCAGATGGCTTATTGTCAAGCCTGATACTGATTAGAGTGGGAATGACTGGCCCAAGGTCACTCAGCTAGCTTCCATATCTAAGGAAGTATTAAAACTGGGGTCTCCCCACTCCTAATCCAGCACCGTAATCACTATACCACACTGGCTCTTAACTTCCAAACAGGTAATTTTTTTTCAGAAAATCAAGACAGATTACATGTTCAACTCTTAGTCTTCACTATTCAGAAAGAATAAATAAAATGAAATGTTTTTCAAATTATTCTGAGTGACTCTTTAATTCAGTTCATTTAATGAATAGGAGTTGCCTTCATCTTTGGGTTAAAGAATGAAATGTCATACACATACACACAAAATGTTTGATGCTTAAAGATGAGGAAGAAGTAGAGTTAGATATTTATCCGGCTACAGATGATACTGTGCTTTTCCATACTGTTTACAAAATAAATCAGCAAATAATTAGAACTAACGATACATTTTTATTTTTCTTATCTGCTATGAATGTTTATCAGTGCTGAAAAGAAGTCAATTCTGATACAACAAAATAAACTATTGTGCTGTAATGGGAAGCAAAAGATGCACTGTTTCCCCTCTGTATTTCATTACAGTTGTTACATAACATTCTGATTCAAAGCATTTATCTTTTATGCTTATTATATTTTTTCCCATTTATAATAATATCTGAATGAAAATCTTGGTCCCAACATATGAAAATGTATTGTAAATATATTCTAAACAATGCTAAAGTGGCTTTGAGTACCAAGGT